GATGTTTCATCTCCTCGAATAATTCCCTTCCGACCGAGTTAAAAATGACGAGCTTCTGTAATGATTGCAGTTCAGTTGCAATGATCCGGTTATTTTAATCAAGTTAAGTCTATAGTTGAAACAGCGATAACTGATGCTTGTCCAGACGCAAATAAATACATTAAGACGTCTTCAAGATCACAGATGGCTACTGCTCAGTAGAGTTATGCAGAATTTTAAAGGAAAAGAGACTAAAAGCTTCTTTAGAATATAGGATCAGATCGATTTACTATGCAGCTATCCGTGCCTCGACTCTAAGAATCTCAAAAGATCCGTTCAGATATGCTCGCTTTTGTATATTTTCCGTTGAGAGAAAGCAATTTTTAGTCTGGGCGTAAGCGCTATATGCATGACTCCTTCGATGTGATCTGCACTGAAGCAAAGCGGCGACTTAACTCAATTCCTGATTGATAACTTTGTTGTAGAGGGACAGAGAGAGCGCTATTTTTGATGTTTTCGTGGCCTACAACTACTTAGTCCCTTTTTTTAAAATGTGCATAACACATGGATGATTTAAACGGTAAGCGATAGAAACTCACGGTGTGGCAATTGACTTATCAATTGTGCTTCTATTCTAAGAAACTTGAACGATTAAATATATGATCTCTGACTTACGCAATGAATTTCCTGTTTTAACTATCTGCTATTTCTCTATGAGTTTAAAAATTATGAATTTGTGAGGTAGACATCAAAACTTTAGTTTTCGTACAGTCGTATAATCGTTCTTCGGTTCCCGCTATGAAAATGAGATAAATTAATCTTGCGATTTGTGTTGGTAACACTCAATTAAGTCTTACTTACTCCCTAGGGCTTCGAGGTATTATTGAAAATGTAACCTTTCCATAGTTGTCGTAGTTCTGGTCTCTTTTCTGAGAGGATTTTGAGTCACATTAGTATTTGTTTATATTTCATGCAGCTTAGGGGAAACATAATGGCAACAAATTTAGTTGACCTAAGATTTAGGTTGACCAAAAATTTGTCTTGTCGTCTAGCAGTATGGATTTGAATAGTTATTCACGGTTATCATAACATTTACTGTAAATTAAGTATCATCCCTTCAGCTTTATCATCTTGCGACTCAACTTGTTGAGTGGCAAGATAGCCTTAAGGTAAATCCAAACGTTGTGATTGGTTCTTACTTAGTCTGCATTTTTGTTCACGAAAGCCGGCTCAAAATAAACAAGTTTGGCCCGAGTACCATATAATAAACTACATACTATAACCTCGCTTTCTTAAACCATACTGTTACAAAACAATGTAGATAAATGGCTAAAAGGGCATCATAAGGACCGAAATGATGCTCTTGGTAAGAGCTATTTTGAAGAACTATGTAAAACAGCCCCAGAAAAAAACTAAAATGGTTATGATATGATGTAAAATGGCCTCACTTGAGTCATTTCATCTCTGTACCATGTATTTAAATGGCTTCTTATGTATATTTAGAGGGTGTATATTTATATAATGGTAATTGAACTGAGTGGAGTACAATTTGGTCTTTTATTACGCCCATTTTGAAATCACTGGTGGTCCCTGTAATCTGATTGGCTCTAATTGGTGCGATTTATTCATGAATCGCATCATTTTTTGCTTTAAATCGCATCATTTTCCCAGCCAATGAGGAGGCTACACTGAATACAAAATAACCAATAAGATTTCAAGGCTTGTATTAAGTAACCAATCTAATTGCAGGAAAATGAAAGACAAAGAGTATCATGTGGTAAATTTTGCAACCTTTGTTTCCAAAACTCTTGTTTTTTTCCCCCAATAAATGGATGAATTTAATTTCAAACTAGCTTAGTACTGCATCAATAAAATATTTGAACTGACCAAGTCCTGTATTTGGGCGATTTCAGAATGGATGTAATAAAGTGGTAATTGAACCTTGTGCCGTGCAATTTTGGTCTGAAATCATACTTGTGATTTCAAATCGAACTCGCGCTATGCGCTTGGTTGATTTTGAAATCACACGTATGATTTCAGCCCAAATTGCACTCCACTCAGTTCAATTACCATTATAAATTACTTGCGTAATTTCAAAGTCAAACAAGAGCGCAGCGCAGGTTTGATTTAAAATCACAAGTAAGATTTCAGACCAAAATTGCACAACACGAAGTTCAATTACCACTTCATTACATCCATTTTGAAATCACAAAATTTAATTTCTCAGATATAGGATTTGTTAGTCTGTACAAATGTTTTGTTGATCCTGCAGGGAGCTTGTTTGTAGAAAGTTGCAAAAGTTGTTTTTTCATTTTCCTGCAATTTGATTAATTTCTTTAAACAAACAATTGGTTGCTATATTTTAGGAAAGCTTGTTCATAGGCTGGGACAAAGATGCGATTAAGTGCGAAAAATGATGAGATTAGTGAATAAATTGCTCCAATGAGAGCCAATCAGTTTACAAGGATCAGTAGTGATTTCACATTGGATGAAATGGACTGACAAATAGAGACATACATCTATATATACACTCGTTTTTAAATAAATACAAATATACACACACCTTTTTTATCCAGTAGATGTTAACAGAACAAATTATAGGTACAATTTTTCAAAAGTAAAGTACAATAGTTGCTGTCCAAATAACAAAAAAAATATATTGTTCCTTTGATGTGAAATATATACATGCATCGGGCACCACCTTATTTTTTTTCTTGCCAAAATATTTCTCACAGCATACACTTACATGTAAGACATGATAAAGCTATACTTAAATCTCTGCTTTACATATATTACATAATTTAGTGACAAAATATTTTTTCATCAGTTGCCACTCACTCAATAATTTTTCTTGATAAGAAAAGTCACATGTTAATTTTTTCAATGCTATAGTGAAACTTTAGGTAGTGCGTCTGTAAAATCGGAGTTATGTCCTTCCATTTTACATTTATATATGAAAAACGTAACCACTACAAAAATCCAGTTAAGTTGCATTTTCTAAATTGTTGAATTATTTTGCTTAGAAGCAAGCGCCCTCAGTGCAAGTGAACCTGCAGTTGTTAGGCTGACATCAGCATCAGTACCATAGCAACCATAGGTAAGCTCTCGCCGATCTGGACTTTTTAATGTCTGTTATTTTTCAATCTTCCCGTACGACTGTCTCTTTGTCTGCTTTCCTGCTTCCATGTTATTCTTTCTACTTCCCTACTAGACAATCCCTCTCTGGATATCTGCTTGGTTGTTTGCTAGCTTTAGTCTCTAGATGCCTGATCTTGTTTGTCTGTGCAATCCCTTGTAAGACAGTTTGCCCATCTGTCTGTCTGTCCGACCGTACACCCGCCTTTATGGTGTTTGCCATAAAACTTAGAGGAAAACTACTACAAAACGTCGCAACCGTTTTGTTGTTTCTGTTTTTATCTATTTTCTATTTTATTTTTTTTTTATCGTTTAAGTTTTGTCTTTCTCAAGCAAAACATAAACAGGTCGGTAAAACAGAATAGTTCTCATATGTTTGATGATATTTGGCCGAACCAAAAAGCTAGAATGTCCAGCCAGAGATTATCAGTTGAAGAGAATCATAACAGCTTTGAAAGAATAAGTCCGAAGTGATGCATTGTATTCCTCCAGAGAGACCTAGGAATACTTCTCTGAGAGTAGGACTGATGCTATTTAATGATCCATCTATTACGTACGAAACATCTTAAAAACATTAACTGTACTTTTTCAATATTCAGTCAAAAATGGCACGCCCAGTGACAAAGAATTAGAGATAATTTCGAAAAACATCGGTGTGGGCTTGAGATCACTTGGAAGACAGTTAGATATTAAGGAACCAGTGCTGGAAGCGTTAGACGAAAACCATAAAGAATTCACTGAAAAGCCATATCAAATGTTGCTTTACTGGAAAAAAGGCGAGGATAAAAAAGTAACCTATGCTGTCTTGTATATGGCCCTGTGTCATCCCTTCATATCTCGTATGGATCTGGCGAACAACATTTGCTGTCAATGAGAGAATTAAATGACTTTAAGTTGCTGATGAGAATGTTTTTTTTTTTATATAAAGACGAAAGGATCAACAGTTATCCGAAAATAATCACTTGGCTTTAATAATGAATTACTCTTTCAAAGGTAATGGCGTTTATACACCAGTTTTTCCCATTTGATTTTTAAGGCTTTATGCCAGATGGATAGTGAGCTGGAATCTCACGTTTAGTTTTCTTGGTCGAATGCTGTTTTTATTTTCGTTGCATTTTAAATCTTGTATATTGTATTAATTATTCCAATTTTTACACTTGTCAATTGTAAGTGATCGAGATTGTTCACAAATATATCTGCCTCATGTGGACACCTTAAACTTACAATAAATTATTTCAAGAAGTTTATTTTATGAACTCGTCTAGAAAATCCCTGCCCTCAATTAACATTGATGATAATTCTAATGAGATTGCTCGTACTATAATTGCGATTTTACTTCATTACTACCATGTAATGACGTAGTCAAAACAATATTAGCTCTTTGACATACAACAACACAAATCCATGCTGAGTGAACACTACGTGTTTACATTAAGGAGCTCTCTGCCTTCCCAGGACTTCTTCGCGGTAAAAATAATTGACTCTACCAACATAAAGGATTATAATGCTAATAATCATTATAGGTTATAATGCTTATAATCTATGCCTATCTACTACAGAGCGAATCTAAACCAAGGGAATCCTCCCTTGCGACAAACAATGACCGGTTGCTTACTAAACCCTAAGAATGATTGACTTGAATAGGATAACCTCTGTGCAAATGAATGTGCAATCATACACAGTACGCATTGGCCGCTTGTGCAGGAGCCAACCTATTGGAACAAAGACGGTTTTGGTCCGTTGTTTCATGCATAAAAGATGCCGTTTAACTCTTCTCCGACAATGAACACATACTTTGGTGCTCTTTTGATCTATTATAGTTAAGGGGATAACTGAAAGTGGTCATTTTGAGCCTCTTAATTATCCAACGAAATACGAAATGCAATATGTTTAACTGCAGATACGATTTCTGGTCATTTTATACAGACAATTCGGATACTGCAGATGGTTCTCCTCGAAAGAGACGACGGTCGTCTTCTCCTTCCGGTTCAGACCCTAAAAGAAAAAAATCGACAGCAGGTAATAATGTTTAATTTTTAAGTACAATGCTGTGAGAAAATGCCTGCTTAAGAGTTTTGTTAAGTAGCAAGGAAAAAATTAGTTTCAAGATTTGTCGAATACTTTGCGTTTGTAGCCCATATTACCGAATATCATGGCTAAAGATCACATTTCTTTAACCAGAGTATAAAATACAAGTGATGCCGGGTAGTGAGAAGGAAGGGAGGAAGAAAGAGAAGGAGGAAGGAAGAGGAAAGGGGAAATTGAGAGGAGAGGGAGGTTTGCGATGGATGGAGGGAGGGAAAGGAAAGTCGTTTCACCCCTATTTCAAATCCCTTTAAACCCTGAAAGTCCTCAAGGCTAATGTTTCAGTATCGAATGATATTAAAAAGGTGAATCACCTTTCGCTGCATTTTCGTCCACCATCTGTCAGAGCCTTGAAGCACCCCTTTTTTCAATCACCATAGAAACGGAGCGACATTAAACAATTTACGCCTCTTGTGTCAGTCTTTTACCGCAAATTGTCCCTATCTTAGATAACTTGGCTATTCATCTTTTCTCGGAAATCATAATTTTTCATGAGTAATTGCTGATAAGATTTCGTGTCGTCCAATTCTGTCTGTAATCATACTCGTGATAAACAAATCGGTGTCCCGCTGCGCGGTCGTCCGATTTTGTTCATCACTCGTATTATTACAGACCGAATTGGACTCCACTCAGTTCTATGACCGTTAATTATCCTCAGCTCCAGTCAAGGCTGGCAGACCATCAATTGACGAGTTAGAAGATCTGTCTCTGGAACTTGGAGGAAAATGGGAGGAATTAGGAGGACGCCTGAGATTTAACCAAGCCGCAATAACTGGCTTTGATGAAGATAATAGAGGGCTGAAAAAGAAGGCTTTTAAAATGTTAATGGCTTGGAAACAAAGGGAAGGCTCAAATGCCACTTATAAAGTTTTGTGCGATGCCTTGTGCGACAAAAAGGTCCAATGCACACTTCTTGCTGAACAGTTTTGTTGCGAATGAGATTGTAAAAATTGCCTGTCCTTAATACTCTACTCTAAAAGATTGAGTCATTTCTATATCACTTAATATTTCTGTCTGAGTACTCCATAAAGCATCAACGCACTTTTGCGCTAAGTTAGGGGTTCGTTTTCCTTATCATTGAAGATAGGGAAAACGTAGTTTTAGAGAATATATATTTACTGCTATTTTTCACTAAAGAACCGCTGGCCAAAGAACATCAAGAGGTTGGAACTCAATCAAATGTTTACAAAATGCTGATTACATTCCCACTCTTAAGTATCATGATTGGCTGCTTTAACTGACCGATTACAGTTGTCCGATTACACTGTCCGATTACAACGGTACACAGTGATTAGTGAAATATAAAGCAGTTGATGTACTAATCACATTTAAGAAATTGTAAGGGTTATGATTAAGTAATTTATATGCAATTTGATATGTCTGAGTACTCCAGAGAAGATCTGTATCGTCTTGCATTTGTGAACTCCGCTTATTTTCCTAGCTCTTGAAGACAGGGGGAATATTAGCTTTAGAGAATAGATAGTCACTCTTACTTTTCACTTAAGAACCACAGGTTAAGGAACATGGCGGTTGGAATTCATTCAAATGTTCGTAACACGCTAAGGACACTCCCAACCAAAATCATCCTCATATATCCTTCACATTCTGACATTAAAATGCACATTCTCCTAACTATTCTCTTTGCATTTTTTATGGAACTGACAAGGATAATTGCGTGCTTAACAAATCAAAATTGGCTTTGGTTGCTGATCATTTCCTTTGTTCTCGTAAACTTATTTTTGAATTAATGAGTGATACTGTAAGTAGAAATAAGATGCTAGACACAATTTAAGTTTAAGGGGTAATCGTTTGTGGCGAGAATAGGATATGAAGTAACTTCTTTTTCTTGAGAAAAGTTAGATTTTTCATGTATCCGGTATGGTGGATATATGCTTAAAATATATAACGGTCTCAGGAGCTGGGAGCTGTAGGAGCTAGGCTGTAAATAAAGATCAAGGATATAAAATGCATTCCTCATGCTGAGCTCTCATATATTTTTTTTATGGGTTATAGAGGTTTCGCCTCATTGCAAGTTCGCCCTCAACAAGTTCGCCCCTACTACGACCAGCTCTCCCCGTCATCATTGTGCCTTTCTTATCTTTGAGGTTTCCCTCTTATAAAATCGGTTTCTTCTCAGCTTAAATCATATCATAGTTCGTTGAGCGCGTGAAATACATGTAGAGGTCGTTTTTCTACAACTCAAAACTGAGTCTTTGTGCTCCAAAACCACTGGAAAACAAAAAAATAGTTTCTTTTATGTGGGTTCGATTGACCGCTGAACTTGCAGCTGTAGCAACCATGTAACATAACATAGCTTTCGAAAGAAAAGGAGTTATTGATTCAGGAAGAAGAAAGTGGAAGGACTACGGTTTGAAGATCACCGACCAATCGTGTTCCCCTTTGATGGCCTGATGTTTAAGTCTTACAACAAAAATTTCTTTAAAGATGAAAAGGTCAATTATTGCAATTTTTCTATCTATTGTATTAACAATATTATTAATAACTCGCGCTTTTTCAGTTAAGTTTCTCCAAGAGATCATAAACAGTCTATAACTCTTAGTTCCCCTTTAAGTCATCAGTAAGCGCGCTGTGCGCGCCTATTATCATGTCGAAATATAAAGGAATAGATGGGGAGGGTTACAAGATAATGTGGTTTATCGACTGAGATGAAAGTGCAAATTTCCCTTGTTTCGAGGATGCTGGAAATGTCAGCTTTAAAAACTCTGCGGTGGCCAATGGAAAAGTTATCTTGATACATTGCGTGAATTTTACACCACAGTAAGTTTGTGCTGATCGCGGACGCTACTATCTGTTTCAAAATGGCGGCGGCAGCGAAGAGTTGTACCGCCAGAAAAAAGTGATTTTCTCAGAATAACGCCACTGTAAGTTGTTTTTTACCTAAAATATCGAAGTGAATATATAAATAAGTCAACGCATTTGTGTTTTATAGATACCGATCTGTTTTTGGTTGTTGTAAACTGCATTAGAACGTGCGTCTGCACTTGTGCTAACCACAAAAACTTTTAAGTAACCTTCAGACGTCTTCGATATATTTGACCGCGTATCCTCGCAATCTAGCGGGCCTTTTTCACAAGAGCCATAAGATATCCCAGTGGACCTGCTGCTGTAAATAAACAGTTGATTAATGGTGCAAACTATTATTTCTGCGTACATCAGTATTGTAATTATAATGATTTGCTGAGACGCTTCTCAGATTTTAGGCATGGATCTGAAATTAAATTCTTTACCGGTATGTTTACTTAGGGGAGCCGGGCAAGAAGTTGGTCGGTCATTTCACATCCTAGAATTTAAAGGAAAGAAAGTGATGGTGAGTATTACAGGGTACTGAACCCTTTCACTGGCAAGATTCAAAATCTTACATTTTTTGCCGTGACTGTGGGAGACCCAATAGCCTAATTATTCATAAACTGGACCCTGTGTGAAGAGGTTTGGGTTCAAAACCTGACTGGGTCATTGTGTTGTGTTTTATGGGCAAAACACTTCACTCTTACAGTGCCTTGTTCTGCCCAGGAGTAGGACTGGGTATTGGCATATAGTCAGGGAAGCCTGATGAAATGCAGGGGGGTTACTTTGCGATGGACTAACATCCCATCGAGGGGGGAGTAATAATATTCTTGGTCTTTTAATGTTGAGATAAGCTCCAGTTGGGAGAAGCACTTTGCTTAATTGCTGACTGCCCTGTCTTGACTTCCTAGCAATGCAGTGTTGCATCAGAAAGCATTGCGTTGTTGATGATTTTTTCAGTTCTTGTCACCTCTTGTTGTGTAAGAGCTCCCTACTCCTGGTGTATGTCAAATTTTAATTTCAAATCATGTTAAGTCCCTAGGGTTAATGATGCTTTCTTTTGTACCACTGCACCAATCACTTGCTCTTTTTAACTCTGTAACATTTCCCACTTTCAGCTGAATTGTGGAATTCATCCTGGAATGTCAGGAATGGAGTCTCTACCTTGTGGAATATGAAATTGATACAGCAGGAATTTATCTTCTCCTTATTAGTCAGTAAGTGGTTATTAAAAAAACCTTATTTGTCATAATGGAAGTCTACCCATTCTTATTTACTTATACACTAGTTGACCACCAACAAATCCTTACTCAGCCACCTGATTAAAAGACTGAGGAATACTTGATCCCCACAATTAAATCCCAGTCATCAAACTTGATCCTATGAATTATTGTACAGTGCCCAGTGGTACATAGAGGGAAGAAAAGGCTGTCTATAAACAGATAAAATGCTATCCAGTGGTGAAAAGTACTTTTGTATCTACAGGATAGAGATTTATCCAGTGGATGGTGTTATACAACCTTAGAACTGCCAGGGGCCAGGGTTTTTTATTTGGGGGGGGGGGGGAGTGTTGGTGGGTGGGGGGAGGGAAACTACATGTGAAAGTATTCATGTACATTGTATCTAGAGATACTTCTAAATTATTTAATACAAGCTGATAATAGAACCTACTAGCACTTGATGACATCAGAAAATATATGAAAAGTAACTTTGTATGTACTTTAAAAGATAAATCCACTTCCTACCAATGGTATTTGATGAGACAGTTACACATCAACCTCCTTTATTTGAGGAGTAAAGAAGGCGTGCAAGCTTAAGGGAAGGGCTAGAAGGGTTAGAACTAACCAGTATTGTCTGTAAACAGGGGTGGGGGGGGGGGAAATACTTGCAAATCAGAATAATGTTTTTGTTCATAATTACCGGTACATGTAAAAGTGGACCTGTGAAAAGCTGAGGCTAGGGGTTTAATTGGAAGTATTGTATGGTGTTTTTCATTTAATGTACTGTCTTAAAGTCTTCAGATTAGTTTTGAACCTATGTGCAAGAAATTTTGTCATTATCCATTTTCAGCTTTCATCTAGATCATTGTGGATCGCTTCCTTGGTTTTTGGAAAAGGTAAGCAACCACCATAATGTCCTGATACATTGTGATGTGTGGAAAAAACTTAGTGTTAAAGTTCAGTAAAATTAGTTATTCTTGGTCTTGTTTGAACTCCAGCACAATGTTAGATGCTCTTTTACACAATTTTTCTTCAGCACTTATCTCTGAAATCTGTTTACCCTTAATACTCTGATATCAGTATGTATAATCTTCACACTGCTATATACATTTTCAAAGAAACCAACAAGGAGAGTTGGTTTAACAGCTAAGGGCACCTCTGGATGCTGATGATTTCTTCTAATCTTGTGAACTTAGCATGTGGTTCATCAGTGATACTGTAAGTCACTCTTAGGGATTAAAGGGTTAGGACTCTTCAATTAAAGTGGCTTTTTTATTCATAATTTATGTTATTTGAATGGTGTTTAATCCTTAAATAATTTTTTCTTTGCCTTTTAGACAACATTCAAGGGAAGGGTGTTTGTGACACATGCAACCAAAGCAATATACAAGTACAATGCATGATTTAGATATCACAGATGCATATTGCATATTAGGATATACCACACGAGTGGCTGGTGTGCAGATGATTAGCAAGAATGTTACACCTCCAAGCCACCAAAGAGACAATATCATATCTCAAGAGTTTAATTTGCAATCCTTTTTTTTCATTATATGGACAGAAATGAACTTTTAAGGTTAAAGCTAGAACTTTTGGCCTCTATGCAGTATATACTAAAACAATTATTGACCTCAGTGTTGGTGAAAGTGGTGGATACTTACCAAGCCATTTTGCAGCTTGGTAAATATCCACCATTATTAAGTTTTCAACTCCAAACACTCAGCTCCAGTTATCAGCTCTTCTTCTTAGTCACCTTATGTGGAAGGGCATGGCCCCATCTGTTGTGTAGCTGAAAAAAGGCTCCAAACATAGCCTGGTTGGTTATTGACCATCTCATATCCATTTGCACATTCATGGAATGATTGTTAACTATTCCCCTCCATTTTAGTGAATATACGAGTCATGTAACCTCCAGAGTCCAGCTCTCAAACAGAATAGGCACCAGTCTGCCACATAACTCTTTATTAATGATTATTTTTTTCATATATTGTTTATCCTTTTTTATTTATTTTTAAATTTATATATTTAATAAATTATTTTCATATATTTTTGTTATTGTTTCATTTGTCCATTATCCTGCACTACTAACATTATTTACAATGCAACAATACACAACACCTGATTATGGATTTGTTTTCCATAGCAGATTATTTTACTGTTTCAATTTTTCTTTCAGAATTCTTGGACAAAATTCTTCTAGAAAGCAGTTTGAGTTTTTCTCTTTCCTTTTCTTTTTAGGTGGCTTCTTTCAGATTATGTCAAGGTTAGGTGTGTATCATTCTACATTTGAAGCAAAGGGGGCCTTGGGATAGAGATTCTTCTTCATATATTAACTAGAACATCACCAATTGCTATTCCAAGTTCATGTAGTACTACTAGCGTTCTTCAGATATTTTAGCCAGTCATAACGGTTTTTTTTTTCACCAAAGGTGCAATGACAGGTTTGTTTACTTAAACAACTATGAACGTGTCAGCCGTTTCTGCCTGTGTCAGCCTGTTGTGTGTGGCACGAAAGTGAGCATTTACCTTTTGAAGACACTCTTTAAATACATCATCCTCCTCTGCATCGACCAGTCCCAGTAAGCTCTTCATAAATCTCTTTGACTTCCACTCCTGCCCTATGGCTTTTTTATGAGCTGTATTTGTAACTCCGTCGAAGTAATAAAAATATCATCGTTTCCACAAGCTATACAGACAAAGTACTTTCATTTACTTTCCTGTTCCTGGATGTACTTGTCCTTTAAGTGTGATACCTCTGGCCTAGTTTACCAAAAACCCATCAAGGATTTCCCCTCTGTTTGAAGCACCCAGAAATCACTAAAGAAATTATCCTTAGAAGTTATTTGCTGGCATGCAACAAGTGGCTTCGTGGCCTAGTAGTACAGTGTAGTGCCTACCTACTATCTGGGAATAGATGTTGAAACCTCATTGAAGCCTTCAAATTCTCAGACTCAATGTATTGCTATGACTACGATTGCAGTGCACCTGGGAAGATCAATTTGTCACTCGTCATTTTCATTACTGTTCATTATTTTAGTAACATTGCAACAGAGGACATGCTGTACACTAAGTGAGATCTGGAAAAGAGCATGGACAATTGGCCATCGTAAAGAGTTTCGTAGCCGACGTCAGAGCGAATGACAGAGGGTAAACACTTCGCTCTGACAAAGGGTTAAAGCTCGAAACGTCAGCTTTGAAAGACTTTACGGAGGCAAATTTATGTTATCAACTCTGTTGAGAATACTAAATTACCCTATTTTGTAAATGGATTACTGCAGATTAATATTGACAAAATCATCCTGAGCTTCACGATGTTCCACTCTACTATGCTTCACAACTGGCCAAGAAATCCTTGTCATGTGAGAGAACAGTGCCAGGTTTGTAATCGTTTATGATATTTTAGAACGTAGAATGACAAGGAATTAGTTTGACAACCAGGAGTGGTTAGAGAGTTAATCTAACCCATTTATTGAATGGGTTGTCGTTAGAGGAATATCAGGCTATGCACTGGAGGAATTACCGATGAGTGTAAGACCTTTGCAAGTGTGATGGCAGCCTCAGTTGTGGAAAATATGTTGTATGGTTCCGTTGTTTTCCAAAGCTAGCCACATTATAAAGGTGACGTCACTCTCTTTTTCTTGAAACCAAATAATTGGTTCTCAAATCCTCATAGATTTATAAATTGTGTGACCATAATCAACCTCAAATATTATTATGATCATCTTGCAAGATATTTTGGTTTATTAACTGAATTTATATTGTAAATTGGCAACCTTAAAGAGTTTCTGAAGTTGACGTTGATATTGTGAGGATTGAGAGTTACGATTAAAAGATAAATATTTTTGTTCTAGAGCTCTAGAGTTCCACAGTCTCTCTAGAAACTTGCCCCCTTTATTTATTTTAAGATTATCTTGGTTTGCCTTATTTCAGACCATCCATTATGTAAAATTGCTTGTAATAGGCTTAGTCTGGAAAACAAGCAGCTAAACTCAGAATGAAAAGCACTATCTTAAATTTCTCTTTCCTAAATCCCCTCTCCTCGTTCTCTTTGAAAACTCCCACAAAGGAGCCGGCTGTGCAGGTGGACGTAAAATTATTGAAGTTGTCGAGAACCACTGAGCATGGGATGGTATAATGGCAAAGTAACTGAGATTGCATGAATATTAAGAGAACGTTAATTGTGACTAATTGTTAATTTCAATCTAAGTTCTGTATAGCAAGTTATAAATCTTATGCATTGAGTCAATTTTCAAAATATGTCAACACATTAGGCTTTTTAAAATTCCTAAATCAAAACCCAAGTTACTTCCCTGTAAACTGAAAATACCGATGGTTCATCAATAAAGGGCCAGTCTAGTCTACGTAAATTAAAATATTTTCCTGTTGGAAAGAAGGAAGCTTGAGTTTTTGCTTTCTAAATTCTTGAATTATTTTGTTTAGAATCAAGTGACCTCTGCGCAAGTGTACCTGCATCAGCAGGGAGCCCGGGAATAGAGCGTTCAGAGGTTATCACTGCCATGGACAACAAAGGTACACTTTTGCCGATATGGAATTTTCAATCTGTTATTTGTCTATCTTCTTAAACGACTGTCTTTTTGTCTGCTTTCCTGCTTCCATGTTATTTTTCCTACTTCCCAATCCCGCTCTGGATATCTGCGTGGTTGCTTGCCAGCCTTTGTCTATGATCTTGTTTGTCTGTGCAATCTTCCGTATGACCGTTTGCCCATCTGTCTGTCTGTCCTTCCGCCTGTCTGTCTGTCCGACCGTACGCCCACCTGTGCGTTGTTTGCCATAAAACTTGAGGGAGAACTACTACAAAACGTCGCAACTGCTTTGCTTCTTTTTTCATTGTGTAAGTTTTGTCTTTCTCGAGCAAAACATAAACAGATCGGTAAAACAGAATAGTTCTTATATGTTTGGTGGTATTTGGCCGGACCAAAAAGCTGGAATGTCCAGCCAAAGGTTATCAATTGGAGAGAATCATAACAGCTTTGAAATAATAAGTCCGAAGTGATGTATTGTATTCCTCTCAAGAGATCTAGGAATAACTCCATGACAGGATGATTGACGCTAACCAATCATCCATCTATTACGTAGAACAAGAATTACTTTATTAAGAATATCTTACAAACATTAACTTTACTTTTTCAATATTCAGTCAAGAATGGCAAGCCCAGTGACGAAGAATTAGAGACAACATCGGTGTGGACTGGAAGCCACTTGGAAGACGTTTAAAGTTTAAGGAACCAGAACTGGACGCTTTTGACGAAAACCATAAGGAATTCACCGAAAAGCCATATCAAATGTTGCTTCACTGGAAAAGAAGAGAGGGTGAAAAAGCAACCTATCTTGTCTTACATGACGCCCTATGTCATGACTTGGTAACCCGTAAGGATCTGGCGAACGAAATATGCTGTCAATGAATGACTTTTCAGTAGTTACTGATGCGAATACGTTTTTTGAAATAAGGACAAAACGATCAACAGTTGTTGGCTTTAATAATGAGTTACTCTTTCAAAGGTAATGGCATTTATACACCAGTTTTCCCCATTAGATTTTTAAGGCTTTATGCCAGATGGATGATCAGCTGGAATCTCATGTTTAGTTTTCTTGGTCATACGTTGTTTTTATTTTCGTTGCATTTTAAATCGTGTATATTAATCTATCAAGAAGCTTTTTACAAATTATAACTCCCCTGAAAAATCCCTGCCTTCAATTAACACTGATGATAATGCTAATGAGATTGCTCGTACTATAATTGCGATTTTACTCCATTACCTCCCTATAATGATGTAGTCAAAACAATAATAGCTCTTTAGTATACAACACAAACCCATGCTGAGTGGACACTACGTGTTTACATTAGGGAGCTCTCTGCCTTCCGAGGACTTCTTCACCGTAAAAAAATTGACGCGATCATTATAGAAGGTTACAATGCTAATAATCGTTATAGGTTATAATGCTTATAACCTATGCCTATCTACTACAAAGCGAATCCAAAGTAAGGGAACCTCCCTGGTGATAAACAATGACCGGTTGCCTACTAAACCTAAGAATGATTGACTTGAATAGGATAACCTCTGAGAATAGAAAAAAATTCTTGCTGAACATAAAACTCTGTTTTCATAGTACCACACGAGCAGCGATAGGTTAAGAAAACATGAAAAGTAAATAAACAAAACCAAACATTATAAGAAACGCAAAAAGGAACGGGGGGTAGGGCGCGGACCACTCTCGCTTGCTTCCTCCTCCCTCATATCCTGACAAATATCTTGACAGGGTCATCAAGGAAAAAATATAGTTTATCATATATATGCAAGTACAGAGCGCTCAAATTTAAAACTTCTTCCTGCCTCGTTGTCATACTCTCTCCCTTAGCCATTACACAAAAAATTACTTATGAAGCGTTACCTCCACCTCAACTCATTCATGTTGACTATGAAACGGAACTCCATTCCCTGAATGCAAAAGAATCATTATAATACGAAATAAATAGGAAATTAAAATATATTTATAAATTTACAACTTCAATCCACTGGAGAAAGTAACATGAAATCGCCATGAATCTACGTCAGAGTGACCTTAGCTATGCTTGCATAATTAAGGAACTGATAAACTATTCACAGACAATTGCAAGTCTGAAACGAAACTGTCTGAGAAGTGTTAACCTTTCGAGTAGTCCAGTCGACTCACGAACTAATTACGAAGTAATATCGTGTGTCTTCACGGTCTTGTTCACAGAGTTAAATACAGACATTTTCATTGTAAAGAGAAAGTGAAGGTGAGTATTCAGAGAAAGTCATATATTTTGACTGTAGACGTTAATGAAAACGAAAGCGCTAAGCGTTATCTTTCCGGTGTGATTTGAACAGAGTCAAAGCGGCTTTTAATCAATTTGAGATGACTAACTTCATCATAGATAAACATTCAAGAGAGGAAATCGTTGATTAAAAACCACTCAATCCATTTGATTAAATTTTATACAACATAAGCAGGAAAGATTTTAACAATAGTAAATACTGTGAGAATTAATTACGCTACGGACATGGCCGTATGACTTTGTCTTCAGTTCTTCTCATTACTCCTCGATAGTTCATCTACTCGATCAATTCCCTTCTGACTGAGTTTACGTGACAAGTATTTGTTATTTAAAGATACTGATCCTGTTATTTTAGTCAAAATATGTCCGTTTTAGTATATGTTTCGTTAAGAGAAAGCAATTTTCAGTCTAGGCGGGAGCCCCAAGCATTACTCGTTCGATGTGATTTGCACTGAAGCACAGCGGCGATGTTACTCAGTTCCTGACAGATAACTTTGTCGTAGAGCGCTATTTTCACTGTTTTTATGGCTTACAACCATTAACGTAGTCCCATTTTTTTAAATGTACACAACACTTGGATGATTTGAGCGGTAGGCGATTGAAATTCAGGCTGTGGGAATTGATTTGTCAGTTGCGCTTCGATTCTAGGAATCTTGAAAGATTAAATGAATGATCTCTGACTCAGTATGAATTTTCTGGAATAGGATAAGCTTTGAAAATAGAATAAAATTCTGGCGGAAAATAAAACTCCGTTGTCATCGTACCACACGAGAAGCGATTGGTTATGAAAACATTAAGAGCAAATAAACTAAGCCAAATACTATAAGAAAAGCAAAAAGAAACGGCGGACGCGGGAGATAGGGCGCCGACCACTCTCGCTCGCTTCCTCCTCTCCCCCTGGTCAGCTTTTACGGCTAGGCACAAATATCTTGACAGGGTCATCAAGGAAAAAGCATAGTTTATCGTACATATGCAAGTACAGAGTGATCAGATTAAAAGCTTCCCCAGGCCTGTTTGTTATGCTTCTCTCCCTTAGCCAATACACTAAAAATTATTTATAAAGCGTTACCTCCACCTAAACTCATTCATGTTGACTATTAGCGGAACTACATTCCCTGAATGCAAAAGAATCATTATGATGCGAAACAAACGAGAAATTAATCTATATTTACAAATTAAGAACTTAATTCCATTGGAGAAAGTAACATAGAACCGCTATGAATCTACGTCAGAGATTAGCTATGCATGCATGATTAAGGAATCTGATAAACTATTTGCAGTCATTTGCAAGTCTGAACCTGTCTGAGAAGTGTTAACTTTACGAGTAGTTCCGTCAATTTACCAACTACATACGAAGTAATATCGTGTGTCCTCATGGTCTTCTCCACAGAGTCAAGTGCAGACATTTTCATTCTAAAGAGAAAGTGAAGGTAAGTTGAGAAAGTCTTATTTTGACTGTAGACGTTACGGAAAACGAAAGCGCTATGCTTCTACGCTACGCTTCCTCCGGTGTGATTTGAATAGAGACAAAGCGGGCTTTTATAAATTTCAGCTGACTGACGTTATCATCGATAAACATGCAAGAGCGAAAGGCGTTGATTAAAAACCACTCAACCATTTGTTTTAATTTTACACGACACGGGAATGATTTAAGACGTCTTGAAGATAACAGATGGCTAAAACTGTTCGGTAAAGTTATGCTGAATTTTAAAGCAAAAGAGACTAAAATCTTCTTTACAATAAAGGATCAGATCGATTTTCCATGCAGCTTCATCCGTGCTTCGATTGAACGAATCTCAAAATATCCTTTTAGATATGCCCGCTTTGGTATGTTTCGTTGAGAGAAAGCAATTTTTAGTCTAGGCGGGAGCTCCAAGCATCACTCGTTCGATGAGATTTGCACTGAAGCAAAGTGGCGATTTTACTCAACTCCTGAGTGATAACTTTGTCTTAGATGGACATGCAAGAGCACGATTTTCGCTGATTTCATGGCTTACAACCACTTAGTCCCATTTTTTTAATGTACACAATGCATGGATGATTTGAACGGTAGGCGACAGAACTTCAGGCTGTGGGAATTGATTTATCAGTCGTTGTTAGATTCTAGGAATCTTGAGAGATCGAATAGATGATCACTGACTTACGCTATGAATTTTTTTTTTTGTCATGAAGGCAAGTTTATCTATCTGCTTTGTCTCTCTATGTTGAAAGATTATGAATTTGTGAGGTTGACATCAAAACTTTTGTTTTAGTACAGTCATATAATCGTTTTTCGTTCTCATCATAAAGTGAGGTAAATTAATCTTGCGATTTGTGTTGATAACACTTGCTTTACTCTTAGGGTTTCAAGCTATTTTTATTAATGTAGCTTTTCATAGTTGTCGTAGTTCTGGTCTCTTTTTCTGAGAGGATTTTAGGGCATATTGGTACAGTCCAACCTCGATTATCCGGATTTCTCGATTATCCATACTTTTTTCTGGTCCCAAATTTGTCATGAATATCCATCAGTCATGATCAAGATCCGTAGCCATATTCCTTTTAAAACTACAGCGTTGAAAAGCGAAGAAAAGGCGACTTTGTTTCGCTTTCAAAACGCAAAAACCTGCCTCGAACGCTTTGTAACTAACGAAGAACATTCGAATGAGGTCTGATTGGCTTAGAGTTGCTTTGTTGCTAAGTGAGATTTCACGCTCTATTGGCTCGTTCGGCGTGGTATGCAAGATAAGCTACACAGCGTCACGAATGTTTAATCACGATTATCATGTCCTTGAAGCGTAAACGGCCCGTTCTTTCTACAATTTTGCGATTAGAGTAAAGCGAAAAAAGAAACACATTTGTCTGCTGAATATGGCGTTAGTACGCAACAGATATCTGATATCCGCAATTAATACAGAAGACCTCTACACGATATAGCCATATTTTTTTCAAACCGATTTGTAAATGTTTTGTTTCACGATTAATTGTCGCTTTCTTTATTTAATCAGTTTTTGTTCCTCATTAATATTCATATTCTCGATTATTCGGACTATTTCGTCTAGTCCCAACGAGTCCGAATGATCGAGGTTCGACTGTATTTGTTCACATTTTATGCAGCTCAGAGAAAACATAATGGCAACAGATTTCGTTAAAATATATTAAAGTTCACACGGCAACCAGGTGGACAATCAGACATAGCTTGATGCTACACTGGTTTGCAGATTTAATGAATGTAACCGAAGAAGTTACAAGTATTTTTTTTTATATGAATTTTATATGAAAAGAAGTTAGGGTCTATGAATTGTAACTTCTACGGTTACATTCATTAAATCTGCAAACCAGTGTAGCATCAAACTATGTCAGATTTCGTTAACTTGAAATTTTAGTTAACCAAAATTCTGTCATTTCGTCGAGCAGCGTGGATTTGAATAGTTATTCAAGTTTATCATAACATTTATTGTCAATTCAAATAGTAAGTATCATCGATTCAGCAGTATCATTTTGCGAGTCAACTTTTTTTATAGCAAGATAGCTCTGTAGGAAATCCAAACGTTGGGATTGGTTCTTACGTTGGGATTGGTCTTTATTTAGTCATAAGGACTGTTTCCACGGAGACGTTGAAAAGGGGTGCATTTTGTTTATGAAAGCTGGCTCAAAATAAATAACTTTGGTCCAAATTCATATAAAAAAAAAAAAATACTTGTTCTGTTTACGACACTATGAATATTATTTTATTTGCATTGATGTCTTTACCCTGCTGTTCAAATGCATTACTGAGTTCTCTATTAATTCTTTTAGATATGCTAAGGACCTTTTGCAGAAAAAATTTGCTCTTGCATAGTGACCAGCTAGATCCCTCTGTTGACTAGGATGACATTTTTGTTTCAAGCTCTCAATGAAGTCCATGAAGTTATAAGTGACTACACAGTTCACTAGCCTCTAATCTCTTGCAAAAATACAAATTGCTCAGAATCAAAATGGAAGATTAATTATTCAATTTATGTGGATTTTTTTGTTTCATGTGAGAACTTTGAGAGTTCTCGTTAGCTTAGTTTATTTACTTTATTTGTTACTGTTGATATATATCCACTATCACAAAGCATTGACCTCCATGTTAGCAAAAAGAAAAAATACTTATTTAATATGTAAGAGCTACATTTTTTGAGAACGTGGTTTTCATATAGTATAATGAAATGTTGCATTTTCCGCAAAGAAGCTGTGATACGAGAAACCAAGAAAATTTCTTTCGCGAATTCCAATCCCGAAGTTGTGTCCCATGGAGAAAGGAAAGCAGAAAAAGAGAGCGATCGGAAAGCCGGTGAGATATGTGGTCTGTGAATGTTTATAGACCTTTATATAATGCAATATATCAAAAACATACACTACTGTATGATCTATT